GGATACAAGTGGTTAACCCCCCCTTCCTCCCTTTAGTCAATTCACTGGTTAAACAATAAAATGGGATTTTACATCCCCTAATGGTATCCCATGTGGCCATGACTGCAGCCAGATGGGCATCTAACTTGCCTAGTTCGGTTTCTATTGACCGCTCTCCTCTGTCAGTTGTACTATGTGGGAGGCTGTTAATGGAAACAAAAAGTGCAGAGAGCTATGGACTTTTAGGGCAGTCATTAGTCTGGTCAGAGAGCTGTGGAACTCCACCCTGCTGCTTGGAAGCAGAACCTTATTTTAAGGCCTTCCAACTCACAGTATCCAAACTTACTGACAAAATGCCTTAATCCTGAAGTGAAGATGTTATGACACTTGTCCCCTTAGATTTGAACTATTCAGTGGAACATCTGGTGGTTGGAATAGGGAACTTGGGATTACTTTCGCCTACTACACCATCAGGGTGCCAGTCTTCAGCTGCCTTCTACCCACATGCCAAAACCTAGCAGCATTCACAATACAGGTGTGTACTCTCCATACAAAAGTGTGGCAGTAAAACCTTTGCCACCATGAAAAATTAATAACCGAAGGAATCTTGTACTGACTGCATTGTTCATTTTCATAAGAAATTCAGTAACCCCACTCCCTCGCTTCCAATCTACACGACATTGCAGAATCTTCCAAGGCTAGGAGGGATGATTGGGATAATTTATTCTGCATTATAGTACTTAGAAACCAGAGGGCTTCTCAGCAACATTCCAGTCCAGTTTGCTGCAAATTCCATTATTGGGGGGAAGGAGAGAGAATCTTGGATTCTAAAGGGTTTTTTCCAGTTTAAAAAAAAATCACTGTCTGAATATTTGTACTTGCTAATATTGCTACTTAGACACACTGACTGTGTCTGAAGGATTAAGAGTATTTTCAGTGCATGTTGGGAGTACTTCATAAGAACAGTCATACTGGGTTAAACTAAAGGTCCATCTAGCCCAGCACCCTGTCTTTTTTTAACAGTGGCTAGTGCCAGGTGCCCCTGAGGCAAAGAACAGAACAGGTAATCACTAAGTGATCCATCCCCTGAAACCCATTCCCATCCTCTGGCAAACAGAGGCTAGGACCATCTTCCCTGCACATCCTGACTAACAGCAATTGATGGACCTAAAAGCTCTACAAATTTATCTAGTTCTTTTGTGAATCTTGTTATAGCCTTGGCCTTCACAGCATCCTCTGGCAAGGAGTTCCACAGGTTGATTATGCGTTGTGTGAAGTAATACTTCCTTTTGTTTTAAACCTACTGCCTATTAATTTCTTTTGGTTCCCTCCCCCTTCCCCCCCCCCTTCCAGTGTTATGAGAAGGCATAAATAACACTCTCTTGTTTATTTTCTCCAGCACTGCATATGTTGGTGCAGTCAATTTGTTTTCTGTATGTAGCCCATGGTCCTTCTAGACAACATGTGTGTTCAGCACAGCAATAATGGAGGAGAAACTCTTTATAAATCTTGTGAAAGCACAGAAGTTGGCAGGGAGCCTCGAGGACAGGGCATAGCACCTGAAACTTGCTAACTCAGTTTCTTGCTGCTTAGATTTCAAGCTGGTGGCTGCTATTCTTGGAGGCTTTTTCCATTTGTGGGAAGGAAATTTTTGGTTTGAGAGTCCAATAGTATGTCTTGTGAGCCTGCCATTACATGGGGGGAAGGTGTTGGGAGTATCCTATAGTACTTAATTCGTAAGTGCCATTGATGGACCTGCTAGAGTCTGCATTTCCTCTCATTGGAGGATACGACAGAGGCTCTAAAGTGTGTGTTTGAGAGTCCGGGGGATACAGCTTCATACAGCTGCTTTTAAAAACAAGTCACATTCTGTAGGTAAAAAGAATGCTGGATGATGCTTCCTCCAAAAACAGTGACAATTATCATTAGTGCTTTATAGCTGCACAGTCTTTAGCGTTTACCCCATGGCTCCCTGATAACCCTAACTCTTACAACTGTCTGGGTTTTTTTTTAGTATGTTGGTGCCCTTGAAGAGATGCTCCTCGCATTAAAGAAACACTCCAGGTGAGATGCTGTCTCTGAGACGGAGAGTAGAAGGAAATTGTGTATGTGCTTTTTCAAGTAATCTGTTAGGTGGGAAATAAACCCATCCCAGGGACATGGAAGCTGTAGGACACTCGGGGCTGGGGTGATTGCCGAATGGTTTGTGGGTGCCCTTTGTAGTGGTAGCCCTGAAGCCTCACTTAGCTCTGTGAGGTTTTCTGCTGTTGTGAATAGTGGTGAAGACAGCCCTACATAGCAGGAGCAGTCAAAGGCTCGCTTATGACCTGAGCCCCACTGTGCTGCACAAACCCACAGAAAGACATGGCCCCAGCACCAAAGCCCTTAGCCATCTGTCCAGACAAGCTATACTGGTAGCACAGAAGTGTCAGATGTTTTACTGTTTTAATGTCCCCTGCACTCTGTCATGCCCATGGAAATACAAGTGTCACCAGAAAAGGTGCAGTGTTCACAGCAAGCTAGAAACCACCGCTCCCCTTTCCCCCCCGCCCCACTTACCATCCCTACCTGCTGCATCCCAGCCCTACAAAGGCCATTTTGAGAGTCGATCTCTCTGCCCAGTTCAGTCTGGTGTCCTTCAGAAATTGAGTGAGGGGTGTCTGCTGGACGATGCTTCCTTGATCTCTCGACTGTTCCATGTGCATGTGACTTCCTGGCGTGCTGGCAATAGGAATTACTGACTCCTGGCTTTCGTGGTTTCTTTTGACTCTTGCAGCAAGCCTGCCCCTGAACTGCTGAATGAATACTCCCGCAAAGTGAACTTCTTAAAGGGGTTGTTAGAAGCTGAAAAATTGGTAAGAACCTTGTGTCCTGCCTGACGTGACTTACAGAATATTTGTTTGGTTCTGGTCCATCTCTGTGCCACATCTCAAAGCACATCTTAGTCATCTTAGTGCACCCAGGCACAATCTTTCCCTCAAAATCAGGAGCGAGTATATTTTGGGGACCTGTAGTCTATTAAAGGCTTGATGTTTAGAGTTACAAATTCTTCTCTCCCCTCCTCACTGCTCAGAGAACCACTTGGAAGGCAAATGGTTCTTCTTGGCTTCAGGGTCTCCCTTTAGCCTTTGACCTTTTGTGGGGCAGGCTGTCTTTGTTCAGTGTGGTTTCCCTTTGTACAGTGCTGTGTATGTCCACTGAGCTGTGGACTAAAGACAAGCTGGGCAGCAGTTAGGCTGGATTGAGTCTGTGCTGTCGTCTTCTCACCCTCCATTCTGTTGGAAGTAGCAGCAGAAGAGCTCCAGGTTCATTCACTAGCCTCCTCTGCAGAGCACAAGATTAATTTGGCCCTCTCTTTATAGTCATCATCAGCAGAAAAGGCCCTGGCCAATCAGTTCCTGGCCCCTGGCCGAACTCCCACCACAACCAAAGAGCGAACCCCAGCTACTAAAATGGTTCATCTGCAGACTAAGGCTCGCTACACGGGCAGGATGAGGAGTGAGCTGCTTGGTACCGTAAGTTTATGTTCTGCTGCTGGCCTGTCACAGCTGATACCTCTTACATTAGCCCCAACCACCTGCTCCCCTAGCCCTCCCCTCCCAACCTGAAACTGGCCTGGTTCATAGGGGCTCCTGGGAGTGACAGTGCCTAGTAGCAGTGCTCAGCCATCTAGTTCCAGCGTGGGGGGTAGGAGCAGAGCCAAGGGGAATCCTGTAGCCTCTGGCGAAATAGAATCTCTCCAAAACATGTTCAAGTACTGAGCTCTGAGGCCCTGTGGAGAGAAGTTACAACCAACCCTCTCCCCAGGACGGCACAGACTCGCCTGTCTTCAGAGGGCAGAGTCACAATTAGGAGCCTGGCCTGTCTTCAACTCTTGTGCTAGACTCTTGGAGAGCCAGCCCCTGCTACGTTGTGTTGGATTTTCTCTTTGGAAAAGGGTTGCTTGATGCAAGACTGTGGGTCATTTCCTCTGTGCGTGTGTAATTTTACTGTTTCTCTCTCCTTTCGCCGCCTCCTCTGTGTTCCCAGGATCCCTTGTCAGTCAGTGGTAAGTGTGTATCAAAGCAGATGGCTGGAATATGTTGGGGAGGAACAAAGCGTGTTGCATCTGGCCTGACAAGCCAGAGCATGCTGGCTTTTTAGTAGTCTGCCAGCCTGGGACTCTGCTAATGAAATATCAGATAAATCAAGTCAAGCAACTAAAAGCCTCTGCCTGGTTACGGTAGCTCCCAGGGTGGATCAGATACCAGTTGTGCTAAGTTCTGTACAGCTGAAGTCTCTGCTCTGAACAATTTACAAATCTAGAATAGGACTTGAAACAGCAGCCAGTCTGTAGCGTTACCTTCATCCTCACCCTGCCATAGCAAGATCGCTTGCCCCCAGGAGCTAGCAGCATTCGGCATTTGAGTCCATGTAATATTAACCCTTCTGAATGTATGAATTAATAATCCTCGCTGCTCTGTACCTGGAGATGTTAGTGGGTGGTTCTGTTAGCCACCTTAGTAGCTGGTGCCAGGCCAATCTGGAGTTCTGGTAGTAGAGCTGAGACGCTGTCACTTACGCATTCTATCTCAGCCCTGGGTTTGTGTCTCCTTCCTTTCCATTGGGTGTAGTTGTGACACTGCATGACACCAGAGCATGATGTCTTGCCTCCTATTGAGGAGCAGGCTTTGTAAACCCTTTCTACCCACGGCAGAAACCCAGACAGATCTAAACTTCTGCACCCCATCCCTAGACCCGTTACAGAGTCTTTAGTTTTGTTTCTGCAGTTTTCAGTTATACCTGCTTTTTAAGTTCCTGGTGCAGAAGCTTTTCACAAGGGATCCAGGCCGGGATGTTTATCATCTGCTAAAATACAATCTTTGTTTTCCAGAGTCCGAGGAGCTAAACTTAAGGAAACGGAAGTAAGTCACAGTTCAATATTTTGACTCTTTGTAATCGGGAAGCAAGGGCCTTTGACTCTTAAATGTACTTCATTCTCTCAGCGTAAAAAGTTTTAATGCCCATTTGTAGAAGCCCCAACCGTGAATGGTTTGTTAGCTATTCTAACAAACTGCTGCTCTGACTCCTCTGGCCATCTCCTCAGGTCTGTGTGACTCTGACATCGTCTAACAGTGATCTATGCACCACTGCAAATGGTCCAGGAGAGCTGAATCCTAAATCTCCTCCCTTGTGCTCTGCAGGGGTCTTGGACCTGAAGAGAAGCAGTCAGCAGCTGAGCTCGATGCCGTGCTAGACCATCATCGCAGCGTGCAGGAGAAGCTGGCTGAAGAAATGCTGAGTTTGGCTCGCAACCTCAAAAACAACACCCTGGCGGCACAGAACGTTATTAAACAAGATAACCAGGTAGCGTGGATGGCAGTGCAAGAAACTCTCAGTATTGCAACACATAACCCTAATGTGCCCAGGTGTGAGGGGCACTGTAATATCTGTAACTTAATTCTAAATGTGCGTAGGACTGGGATAGGGGTTTGCTGGAAGGACCTGTCCTCCTCCATAGCACAACTGATCCTTACTCTAGACCCTTTAGTTTTGTAATAAATAGCCAAAACTTTCCCACCTGGATGCCTGATGTAAAAGTGGTGTGACTCTCAGGTGCTGAACATCCACAGACCGCTGGTGGCAGTGGCAGTGGCAGGCACGTGACATTTTTTGTATTTTTATCAGATAGTCGACACACTAGTCGGGTAGTCGCTTCCCTCCCTATCCCTCCCCTCCATCAGAAAGAGGCAGCAAGGGGGGGACAGAGAGGAAGGGGTGCTTCAAAGCAGCAGTGCCACGTGGAGCCCGGGCTCAGCTGGGGACTCCCCGCTGAGCCCTGGCTCCATGCGGCACTACTGCTTTGAAACACCCGTGGAGCCTGATGCTGGGCTCCCTGTAGCATTTCAAAGCAGCAGTGCCACATGGAGCTCGGGGTCAGCGGTGGAGTCAGAGTCCCCAGCTGATCCCAAGCTCCATGTGGCTCTGCTGCGGGGAGCATAGGGCCAGCAGAGGACTACTTGAGTCCCCTGCTGGCCCTGTGCTCCCTGCAGAGCTTTTGCCTTTGAAGTGTGGCAACAGCCCCGGAACTGTTCCTATACTTCAAAGGCAGGAGGTGCCGTTATCGACTAATTGAATAGTCTATGCAAATTGCATTGACTATTCGATTAGCTAATTAATTGAAATTTTACATCCCTAATTTTTTGACAATCAGAGCACTTTTACTTAGGCTCCCCATAAGCCACGTGTAGGCACCCATCTTTAACGACTCAGGTTTGTGAACTGCTGAGTCTGGTATTTATGGCTGGCCTGATCATCTCTTCTCCATTGTTGAAATAGGGCTTCTTCTGTTTAGGCTACATCAACACAATTTGGCTTAATCAATGACACAGACCAAGATGCCTCCTTCGAATCAACTCTGACTTACACCTGGCTCTTTGTTTGTTCCCTAGACTTTATCTCACTCTCTCAGGATGGCCGACCAGAACTTTGAGAAGCTGAAGGATGAGTCTGAGCGCCTTGAGCAGCATGCAAAGAAGTCTGTCAACTGGCTGCTCTGGATAATGTTAATTGTAGTTTGTTTTATTTTTATTAGCATGATCCTCTTTATCCGAATTTTCCCTAAACTCCGATAACTCCCATAGCACGCAGGAGCAATGGGGGGGAAAGCTAGGCAGTCCATGATACTCTGTTCATTCCCAGCAAGTCTCTCTGACCCGTTTGGTAAGCACTCACTCTCAGGCACAGAGCTGACTCTTGACCATGTGCTGAAGGGGGTCGGCAGATGCCTGGTCTTCCATCCTTCCCTTGTGCCCGTGCTGGAGTTGGTGGGACACCTCATGATAGCCTGCCTGAGTCGGGTCCGTCTGTGTCCGTTTGCTTAGCTGATAAGGTGGCTTGTTTCTTGAGAAAGAAAGTGCAATAAAGATGGTACTTCAGAGGCATGCCCCTAGACACAGGTCCTTCCAGGTGTCTAAGATCTGCTGTCTGCTTGTGACGTGGCTAAGCACGCTATGGTTCCTCTATAAGGGAGTTTACCTTCGTCGGAGCAGTATGCAGCTGATGGATTGAAGATCATGTTTGCTCTTTAGAAATCCACCAACTTTAACAGGGTCCTTACTGCAGTTATGTGGCAGCAGCTTTGTTGAGTGGGCAAGAAGGAAAATTCACAGCTTTGGCCTCCTGCCGATTGGACACTAGTCATTGAAATCACCTGGAGTTATGGGAGAAGATGGAGGTTGGAATCACCTAGTTTGGGAAGCTTAAACAAATCAACTCCTCCCTTCTTACTGTCGCAAACGCTGACATCCCAATGAAGTACAGAGTGCGTCCTGTACCTTCCTTCCATCCCTTCGGGAAGCAGCTGATGCTGGCTGTTCAGCCCTAACCATGCAGTGTACTCTTCAGACCCTGCTGACCGATGCATCTTGTTGCTTTTCTGTAAAACGAGTCAAGGAAGTCGGTCTCTCATTAAATAAGATGTTTACTTAATGAAAAAATCAGCCAGTACCCTTTGAGCTAGGCTGATTTGTTTGAGTTGTTTAAATCTTCTCCTCTCTAGTGGAAGAAACTTTGAAGTTTTAAGCCAGCTTCTGCTCTTGATGAAGTGCTGTCTTGCTGTACTGAGTGAAAGAATGGTGTAATTTTAAAAGCAGAAGTACAATAAACTGCCAGCTTTCACCTCAGTTTAAACCATTTTCCCTATTACCAAGGGTTACAGTTGGTATTGTGTATATTACAGGTTGAACCTCTCTCATCTGGCACCCTGGGGACCAGACCGGTTCTGAACGAGAGTTTTCCGAACCGCAGGAGGTCAATGTTTTTTTAGCAGCTTTACAATGCTTTCACTGTGCTTTTAGAGGACATTGAGGGGTACATTAGAGTTAAATAACAGCACAGAACACTGAGAGCTAGGACTGGTGGCTGTAAACAAACTTTATGGGGCCGTGGGAAACTTGGCCAAACCCATGAAAAGCGGACATCTGGCTAAGTAAAATCGTTCTGGATGACAGATGTTTCTGAATAACAGTTCTGGACAAGAAAGATTCAACCTGTACTGTCTGTTGGCACAAGTTCATATTGGTTTTAGACTTGTCACTGTCTGACTTTTTTCATAGCTAGAACCAACTGCCATCTTCTCTCTCTCTAGCAAGTGGTGCACAGTACTATACTGCAGCTGCTGGGATGATAAGTATTCCTGCAGATCACGTAGCTGCAAGAGCAAATCCATCCAATGTAGAACGTGTGCCTTGTAACGTCAGACACATCCTCCTCAATGACATCACATTGGAAGGAAGCTGACCCTGTTCCAAACTCCTTCCTTCTTCTGGTGCCTCTCCGAGGAAAGCTGAAAAGTGCTGGCTTCCTCATAGTCGGACAGGGCTGCTCAAGTTTGGAAGCCCCTGGGGCCACAACTCTCAGCACATGCCGAGGGGCACAATTAAAGTGTGGTTACATATACAAACAAATATATATGCAAACAGCTTCTTTCACACTGACAGGCATGAATACAAGGGACTTCACACAATGCCCCAGTACTCCTGGCCCCTCCTCCTTTGGGGCTATAACTGCCGACACCCTGTACCCCTCTGTTCCAGCCAGCCAGCTTGCGTCTTTCAGTGCTCACCCCGCGTGGGAGACACCTCTCCATGTTCAAAGGATCCTACCTGCAAGCTGTATCTATAACCCCTGTAAACCCAAGCCACACCGTGGGTGCAAATAAAAGGGCCGCGGGCCGTATGTTGAGTAGCACTGCTCTATGAGCTGCCTTTGTTATGCATTGTATGTCTAGGTCCTGATCCCGTAGTGAGAACCACACGGGAGCCTCGTTAGGGGTGATGGTGACCAGCCTGGCTTGTTCTCCTTGTGGATCAAATCTTGCCTTGCTCTAAGCCAGTGAAACGGAATTAGCTGCAGTGAAACTTGCACCTGATTATGTCAAGGACGACTTTGTCACAAACACTTGACTCTACAGCATGTGAATGTGGTGGTGTACTGAGAGAATCCTCCGTTCCGGCTTGGTAAGACTTTGCGTGATGTCATAAAGGGTTACTGTGTCCACATTCCGATGAGTGGTATGTTGAAATTATACTGTGGGAGGGAGAGGGTGAGCGTGGTAAAGTGTGTAGAGAGAACAGAGGCTGGGTCTGTGGAATCGGCAGCTGAGCCCAGAATGAGTCCTTGAAAAGCACCCATTCCTTCCAGGAGAAACCTAGTGCCCTGGTTCCAAGGTAAAGAGAAACTCATGTGTAAACAAGAGACCGAAGGTGAAAGTAAGCGGATGCACTGGTAAGAGTGGCCAGCTGAGGCAGGACTCTCAATCCTGCCAGCTACTGTACACCAGCAAGAATCCCGAACCCTTGCTGGGCATAGGCAGCCTATCCCTCCTCTCCCACAGGAACCCGAAACACCACTTCTGTGGTCCTGCACCCCAGCACGGGACAGCTGGGGAACAAGGTCCCAGCCCCACTGGGCCAGAGGCAGCACCTGCAGCTACTGGGTGGCACAGCCACAGCACCCCCCAGGCTGTAGCCCCATGGATCAGGTGGCATGGCAGCACCCCCTGGGGATTGGGTAGCTGGGCACTGTGGTGGCCAGTTCCCCAACCCCCTGCCCTGAGCCCTCCACACTCCATCCCACGCTTAAACTTCTTACAGATACTGTTGTATCGGAACCCTTGACCCATTGCATTACAACAGTACCTGTAAGAAATGTAACTTTTGCCCCTGAAACAGACCCAGAAAAACACTGGGTTTCTAAGTTGTCCCTGACACTTGGAAAATGATTCTTCCCAATTAGGCAGGACTTGCACAGCGCTCTCAAGTGCAGTGGCTGGAGAAAGCTGAGTAGGTGGGTTTGGTATTTAAGTATTTTTAAATCCTTTGTACAGAAGGGAAAAGATCGCTTTTATGAACCACTAGGTGGCCATATTACCTGCTCCTGCCTGCTGTGTCTGTCAGCAGGAGGATTGCGGAGAGTAGTTACATAACGTTACTCCTCAGGGCTGGTAGGAGAATATGACTGACTGCTTACTCTTCCAGGGCTGTCTAGGCAGAGAAGCAAGCTGGAGGCTGCTTTCTTGGGAGAGGTGCTAACACTGAGGTTTAAAAAGCATTTTTTGATTGTACAATTTGATCTATACGACCTGTGCTGTTTCATCAATACATTGCTAAACTTACTGGTTGATTTGTAAAGAACAGGTTTTCTTGTTGGGGGTCACCTGCCTTCCTAACAAATGCCGACCTAAGTGTTGAGCAATAACCTCTGAAAGAAATGAACAGATGCAGCAGTTACTTTGTGAGAAAAATTAACCACCGTTGGCCAGCCCCCCAAATTGTCACGTCAAACCATAACTTCTACAGCTGAAGTATTGGGTATGATTCACGAACTTGGTTCCTCCCTCTGGTTGTTTATCATTTTGCTGAAAGCCGCCCCATTACAATCATTCCATCAGTGCTGAGTCTCAATGCAGTATTCAGGCATTTTGAGATGGTAGGTGCAACTGCCTAACTTGATCTCTAACTCCCTCCCCTTTAATACTTAACATAAAACTTTAGTTTCAAAAAACACACACCTTTTAGCTTGGGAGTTGAAGCATGGAGTCTTTTACTGCATTATCACAGCCAGTTGTGCAGGTGTGTGTACATCCAAATTGCTGCCAGCCACCTGGCTTTTTTCAAATTAGCAGCCAGAATGGCAAGACCTCAGAGGCGGGTTATTAATTTCTAATGGTTTAAATGTGACATCCAGAACGTTTCGTACATGAAAAGCTCTACACGTCCATTGACTATTGCTCAGTGTTTTTGAAGGGTGCAAGAGTGTTGCACATTAAATCCACCTTGGAAGAATTTACCCCATCTCATTTATGTAAGAGTTTGCACCCACTAGCTTTATGTAGCTCTGCAAGCCAGCAGCAGCTACTGCTTGGGGGAGCACCTGGTCCTCTTGAAACTACTGAACAGTTCAGGAACATGAGCTTTTCTCACTTTCTATCTTCATTTACTCTTGTCTCTCGGAAATTGCTTGAGGCTGTATTTAGACTGTAACTCCCCTAGCTGGAATGGGGCCCAAAAACAGGCTCTGCCAGATTTACTCTTCATTCATGGGCTCTAGAATGACCACACATTGATTTTATGTCTCTCTCCCACCCCACCCCCCAAAAAACAACTGTGCCTCTAGAACATGGGTTCCCAAACTGGGGGGGCATGCCTCCCCCACCATCAAGTTTTGCTGCCCTGCTCAGTTCCTTTTTTTTCCTCAAGTTTTGCTGCTTTTGGGGGCGTCAAAAATCAAAAAGGGTGGTATGATGCCGAAAAGTTTGGGAACCACTGCTCTAACACCAGGTTGGGATGCTGGTGACCTCTGCCCCAGGGGAAAGATCATTACCTGATAAAGTTATCTCCTGGGGCAGTGAATTCCCCTTGCTGGATCACTGTGCTGTGTTCATTGGCAGCTGTGGCCTTCATTTGGTTTTCAGATGACTTCAATAACCCCCCTAGTTCTAGAATTCAGAAGCGTTTCCTGCCTGCTCTGTTGAGAATGGGAGGAGCCAGAGATTTTATTACAGCTCAGGATTCCTCCACACCAGGGGTGGGCAATAATTTTTGACGGGGGGCCACCCCAGAAGGGGCGGAACCTCGGGCAGAAGGCGCGAGGACAGGACACTTCGGTGCTGCCTCATTCAGACCCTGATTAGTCTGGGTGGGGGAATGCGCAAAAGTCTTTGCTCCCCCAGAGGGAGCCGCCAACTGTTCTGAACAGCTGGTGGTTTCTTCTAGGTGCCCCTACCCCTGGCAACGGGAGACTTCGTGTGCTCCCCGCTGCTGCCCCCTGGTCAATCAGGGCCTGGAGAGAGGGAGCGTGTGAAGTCTCTCGCCTCCTGCCCTGCAAGGGAGCCCCGTGCTTAGTCACCTACTAGCTGAGCAGCAGCTGGCTGTTGACTTTAACTGCTGAGCCCCTTGATTGGCCTGGGGTAGGGGAGTGCACAAAGTCTCTTCCCACCCTGCCCTGCAAGGAGCATGCAGCGCTTAGAAGCCCCGTGCCCCTCGCAGGACAGGGGAGACTTTGTGCACTTCCCCCTGCCCCCAGGCCAATCGGGGCTTGGGGGCGGGGTGAGCACGTGAAGTCTCCTCCCACCCTGCCAGGCGCATGCAGTGCTTCTAAGCACCATGCACTCCTTGCAGGGCGGGAGGAGACTTGGTAAGTTTCCTGATTGGCTGGAGGGCGGGGGGAGCGGCAGGCCGGATCAACTTGCTTGGTGGCTGGATCCAGCCTGCTGAGGCCCTTTTGCCCGAGTGTCCTGCAAAGGGGCAGAACATTGGCCAGGTCTGGGCCTTTCTCTTGACAGTCAAACTAAACTCTCCATCTCCGTTCATCCCATGCTCATCAACAACCATAGGTGCAGCGCCCGTTGGTGTCCGATACTGTTTCCTTCCATCTTTCCCTGTCCAATCCCATGTTCCCCCCTAAATAATTCCCCCACGTTTTTACCCCTTCACCTTTCAGGCAGTGGGAGACTGTTGCTGTTGTCTCCTTTTAGGGTAAAGTTACAGTCTTACTCTCTCCTCTCCAGTCCAGAAGCTATCGACTCCCCCCACACCTGCTAAGTAACGATTTCAGACTAGAGCAAGCCCTTGACACGGTTTATAGGCAGAATGATGATTATGCTCATGACAGACGCCAGGATGGTTGTTCGTAAGCAGCAGCTTTAACTCTCAGCCCCGTTCTGTAGCAGCCGGCCCTAAGGATGCCCTGGCTGCTCCCAGACATGGTAGCGAAGGCAGTTAAGGGAGAATTGCTTGATTTCCCCCAGGCAGGGAGACGTCCTAATGCAGATGCATTTGTCAGGCCCGGGTCTGTGCCTCTCTTAAAGAGAGGCTGTATTTTGGCAGGCAGTAAAGTGAAAACCTTTGTCAGAGACCAGGGTCACATCAGGCTAATGCGCACAGCACCCTCCAGGCCTGGCAGCAACGGGCTGTGGATCAGTCTGAGCTCTGCTGGCAGCAACTCTGGGTGGGGACTTTTTTTAATATGTTTCAGAGCCGTGTCCTCAGGCCACGGCTGGAGCAGATGAGTTAGAGGGTTTCTTGAGGTGAATGGGCTGTGGGTGCCAGCAGATCCACGCATGGTGAGAGGAGAACATTGTGCGCCAATGGCTCCCATGCCTGGGTGGCAAAGCAGTTAGCTGCTCCCAGTTGTTTTCCAGTGGCTGTGCCAGACAAACACTCAGTGTGGCCCTCCTTGCCAAACCCGATTGTCACGCAGCCAGAAAGCCACAGACGGGAACCCAGAGCCCTAGTTCTGGCTCTGCCATTCCCTCACCATGTGGCTATGGGCAAGTCACTTCCCTGCTTTGCCGCCATTGTAAAACCAGGCTGATTCCTTACCCATGGGAGCATTCAATCTTCAGTGCTTCTCAGCTGCTGGAGAAGCGCCAGTTGTTTTGGAATCCCATCCCGGCTGAGACAGGAGTGGGGTGCAAAGGGGATATTTCCTGGCATTCCCGGGGGACCGGAGCTCTCAGCATTGAGTTGGAGAGAGAACGTGACACACGCACACCCCCAGCAACAGATGTTATGTTGCTCTTTCAAGGCCATATCAAAGGGAGGGAAGCGAAGAACAGGAGGGAAGTCTATTTGTGTGCACTGAGCAGCAGCATCTCCCAAAGTGTAGCCTTCCTTCCTTCCTTCTGTGGCACTAGCCTGGCCCTGCCTCGTTCTCAGCAGCTCATCCCTTTATATCCTCCAAAAAACACATTTAGAATCTATCCGCCTGTTCCAGTGTCCGGCGGCGCATAGTTTACCTTGTAAAAGTCCTGACTGCCGTGTTGTGACATTGTATCCTCCCAGGCTCTGGTGATACACCACACATTAGTTCCATTTCATTCTAGCAAGATGACGAGTTGTAGCAGCAGCGACATGGGATGCTGACCACAGCAAAGTGCTGGAACTCATCCCGTGAACTCTAGTTCTACAGCAACCCATGCTCCCTACCTGGTGGGGAAATCTAACCTGGTGAGTGGAACAGATGCTTAGCATCCCTATGGATTTGTGGTAGAAAGAGACTAAGAGGGGAGGTGCAGGAGGGAAGCCTGTAAAGATAAATGTGGCTTTGCACAATAGACAGCAAGGCTACATCTACAGTGGAGGCTTCTTGCACAAGAACAGCTGATCTTGCGCAAAAATGTGCCAGGTGTCTACACTGCACGTGCGTTCTTGCACAAGTAAATTTACAGTACAGCGTTGGAAAACAGGGCTTCTTCCGGAAGAGTTATTCCTCTCCCCATGAGAAATAAGCCTTCTTGCGCAAGAGAGCAGTGTAGAGAGGCAACATGAATTTCTTGCGCAAGAAATCCCTATGGCTAAAATGGCCATCAGAGGTTTCTCATGCAAAAGAGTGTCCACACTGCCATAGACAGTCTTGCGCAAAGCACATCTCTTACACAAAAGCACGTGCCAGTGTAGACACGCTCTTATGGAAGACTTTTTGCGCAAAAACTCTTCTGCAAAACAGTTCTTGCGCAAGAAGCTGCCAGTGTAGACGTAGCCTAAATCCCCAGTGGAAGGGAAATTAAACCACAGGTGGAAAAACATTCGCAACCCAGCAGTGGGATCTTAATGCAAGGAGAACATCTGAAAAGTACCAAGTCAAAGAAAACAGCTTCCCTTCAGTCTCTCGAGAACCTCTAATGCTCTGTAGCTATCCTTTCCCACACCCTTGTTAGCAAAACTCTCCTCCTGGGTCACTTTCTAAATTGTGCCTTTCTTTACGTGCCTCTGGCTACGTCTAGACTGGCATGATTTTCCGCAAATGCTTTTAATGGAAAAGTTTTTCTGTTAGAAGCATTTGCGGAAAAGAGCATCTAGATTGGCACGGACGCTTTTCCGCAAAAGCACTTTTTGCGGAAAAGCGTCCGTGCCAATCTCGACGCGGTTTTGCGCAAGAAAGCCCCAATCGCCATTTTTGCCATCGGAGCTTTTTTGCACAAAACAGTTTTCAGCTGTCTACACTGGCCCTTTTGCGCAAAAGCATTTCCAGAAAAGGGCTTTTGCCCGAACAGGAACGTCAAAGCATTTGCGCAAGAAGCACTGATCTCGGACAGTAGAACTTCAGTGCTTTTGCGCAAAATCAAGCGGCCAGTGTAGACAGCTGGGAAAGTTTTTCCGCAAAACACAGTCTAGACGCAGCCTCTATGTTTTTGGCTGTGGCTGGTTTTCTCTCTCACTTGCTATGGACTGTACCTGCTTGTGTGTCTATTTTTTTTTGTATAGTGTGTGGGGGGAGGGGGTGGTCAAAGTTTCCCTCAAACTGTGTCAGTCACATTTGTCAAGGATGCCAGTGAGATTCCACAATCCTGCAGCTCACTAGAAGACCCGTTCATACTCACCCCCCTGCCCTGCCCTGGTGTTGAGGTGCACACATAGGAGATACCAGTTGAACTGCATCAGTTTGGAAACAGATGTGGGTGAAGCAATACCGCTGCCTCTTTTTTTGTGGGCACTTAAATAGACACAAGATAAACTAAACAAACACAGGGGCTAAGTCAGTAAGTAATTGACTTATACCATCAACACATGTGGTTCTCTCAGACTGATCAACGAATGGCCAAGCAAGCTTTTGATACGGTCTCCCACAATATTCTTGCCAGCAAGTTAAGGGAGTATGGGTTGGATAAATGGACTGTAAGATGGACAGAAAGCTGGCTAGACTGTTGGGCCCAACGGGTAGCGATCAACGGCTCGGTGTCAGGTTGGCGGTTGGTTTCTAGCAGAGTGCCCCAAGGATCGGTTCTAGGGCTGGTGTTGTTCAACATTTTTATTAATGACCTAGATGAGGGGATGGATTGCCCCCTGAGCAAGTTTGCGGATGACACTAAGCTAGGGGGAGGGGAGGATACATTGGAGGGCAGGGATAGGGACCAGAGAGACCTAGACAGATTAGAGGATTGGGCCAAAAGAAATCTGATGAGGTTCAACAAGTACAAATGTAGAGTCCTGCACTTGGGACGGAAGAATCCCAAGCATTGTTACAGGCTAGGAACCGAATGGCTAAGTAGCAGTTCTGCAGAAAAGGACCTGGGGATTACAGTGGATGAGAAGCTGGATATAAGTCAACAGTGAGCCCTTGTAGCCAAGAAGGCTAATGGCATATTAGGGTGCATTAGGAGGAGCATTGCCAGCAGATCTAGAAGTGATTTATTCGGCTCTGGTGAGACCACACCTGGAGTATTATGTCCAGTTCTGGCCCTTCCACTATAGAAAGGATATGGACGCATTGGAGAGGGTCCAGCAGAGGGCAACCAAAATGATGAGGGGGCTGGAGCACATGATCTATGAGGAGAGACTGATGGATTTGGGTTTGTTTAGTCTGCAGAAGAGAAGAGTGAGGGAAGATTTGAGAGCAGCCTTCAACTTCCTGAAGGGAGGTTCCAATGAGGATGGAGAGAGGCTGTTCTCAGTAGTGACGGATGGCAGAACAAGGAGCAATGTTCTCAAGTTACCGTGGGGGAGGTCTAGGTTGGACATTAGGAAAAACTATTTCACTAGGAAGGTGGTGAAGCACTGGGATAGGTTACCTAGGGAGGGGGTGGAATCTCCATCCCTGGAGGTTTTTAAATCTCGGCTTGACAGGGCCTTGGCTCGGTTGATTTAGTTGGGATTGGTCCTGCCTTGGGCAGGGGGCTGGACTTGACGAACTCCTGAGGTCTCTTCCAGCTCTATGATGCTATGATTTTATGAAGAGCACGCTGATTTAGCTACATCAGTTTCTAACCAATTCAGCTGAGCTGGTACAGCTTTCTGTGTTCCCACAAGGCTTAACAAAGATCATGCAGGCCCACAATCTTCTGTTTGCCAAGTGTATATTCCTGGGGCATATTGCTTTGGGATGTGGGTTAGTTACATGCCTAGCACAATGTTGCATGCTGTGCACTATAGGGTTGTTAAATATCGGTTAACGGAATAGTCGATTAACCTCATGAATTCTTTTTGGTTACTTGACTATTCTATAGTTCCCAGGGGTGGGGCCCGCAGCTAGTGCGCTCCAGCCCCACTCCCGAGGAGCCCCCTGCCGCCTCAATATCAGAGGCAGCAGCGTAGGGTCCTGGGGGGGGGGAGGGGGGAGCT